ACCAGCCTCTCCTTGGAAGAAAGAATGTATACTCCCGTAAAGACTTCCCGTCTTGGGAACTCACAGGGGCAGCTCTACTCTCTTAGAGAGTCGCTGTGAGTTGGCCTTAACTCAATGGTAACCAGTTTATTTTTTTACAAGAAGCCCCGGGGTGCCGGGGGTTAGGCATTGAGATTCTCCCCCCCCCTCCCCCCCCTCCCGGCAGATGTAATCCGTTTGATTTCTGGATATTCCATCTGGAGAAGTCCACCTAGAGTCATCATTGGTGTTCTTAAAAACCAGTCTTTGCTATGAACCAAACACTGGCCTGATAAAATTCTATCGTGGGATCTTCAGCTGCGTTTCTTATCACCAAGCCCATATTTTCCCACTACTGGTCCTTTCTCTTTGTTTGCAACTTTTGCGTTCCAATGGCCAATAATCAGCAATGCAGCTGAATTGCAGCTTGGATCACTTTCAGACTGAAAGTGTGGGTAGAATTATTCAATTTCTGCATCACTAGTTTTAGTCGTTGGTGCATAAATTTGAGTTGAGTTGTATTGATTGAATTTCCTTGCATGCACATAGACATTATCCTATCACCGACATCATTGTACTTCAAAATAGCCCTTGAAATAGCCATTCAGACAAGCACAACACCATCTATCTTGATTTTGTCATTCCGACATGAGAAACCATATTTCTGATTCAAAATAGCCAATACCAATCCATTTCTGGGAATGCCTCGTATATAGATCTTTATGCCGTCCACTTCACCTTTAATGACTTCCAATTTTCCTAGATTCATACTTCATACATTCCAAGTTGCAATTATGACTTGATGTTTGGAGCTGGCTAGGATAAATTCTGTGCTCTTCGGGGATCCCCGAGATGGCGGAATGCCAGCTGGGATCCCAGGACAAGAGAAGTGACTCTGAGCAGTGTGATTCTGTTGTAGGGTTGTTTTCATCGTGTTTTGTTGTTTGTGGTGTTCTCGGGGAAGGTCTGCCCAGCAGTATGTGCCCATTCGACTATTTCTGCTCAAGTGGTCAGGGCCCGGCTACAGTCTTCACCGTGTGTGTGCATTCTCACGACTCCCCTTCTGGCGGTTCCTTTGGGTTCTGGGGGTCTTTTAAGACCTCCACAGCTCAGACGTGCTTACTTTTGGAGACCCAACAACACATCACATCAAATACAAATGTATAGAAAGTCATTCACATGCCAATCACATTTTTTTCTTGTAAAAATAAGCAAGAAGGGGCATAGAAGAAAAGCCACTAAATGCATACATTCCCAGGATGAGGTCCAGGCACTGTGGCCAGGGATGTATATGGCAGCCAACTAAAAAGGAGGGGGAAAGGGAAAAAAAAGAGGACGTGGATAGTGGGGGAATCGAGCACTAACCCACCCATGGGGAGCGTGTTGTTTATGTCTGCACAGGAAAGGAAGAGAGGGACCAAAGCTGGTTCTGGCAGGAAGCAGTGAACTAACAGAGAGGTCTACAGCTACATGGACACCCCCCCCTCCTGCCCCCAGAAGAATGCACTACAGAGGACAGTACTGAAGATACAATCTTGGGAGAGGGACAGGTCTGCCAGGCCACACAGGAGCACACTAAGAGGGAAAGACAGAGAGGGGG